TTTTTTTAGCCTTAGTTAAAAAAAGATAAACTTTATTTTTTGGGCGATATACAGTGGCATGGGTACCCGGGATCCTCTCCCATGGTACCCGTGGCTCTCTCCCATGGCACCCCTGCTCTCTCCGTGGTACCTGGGGTCCTCTCCCATGGTACCCCTGCTCTCTCCATGGTACCCGGGGCCCTCTCCCATGGTACCCGGGGCCTTCTCCCATGGTACCCGGGTCCCTCTCCCATGGTTCCCGGGTCCCTCTCCCATGGTACCCAGGGCCTTCTCCCATGGTACCCGGGGCCCTCTCCCATGGTACCCGGGGCCCTCTCCCATGGTACCCGGGGCTCTCTCCCATGGTACCCGGGGCCTTCTCCCATGGTACCCGGGGCCCTCTCCCATGGTACCCAGGGCCTTCTCCCATGGTACCCGGGGCCCTCTCCCATGGTACCCGGGGCCCTCTCCCATGGTACCCGGGGCCTTCTCCCATGGTACCCGGGGCCCTCTTCCATGGTACCCGGGGCCCTCTCCCATGGTACCCGGGGCCTTCTCCCATGGTACCCGGGGCCCTCTCCCATGGTACCCGGGGCCCTCTCCCATTGTACCCGGAGCCCTCTCCCATGGTACCCGGGGCCCCTCTCCCATGGTACCCGGGGCCCTCTCCCATGGTATCCGGGGCCCTCTCCCATGGTACCCGGGGCCTTCTCCCATTGTACCCGGGGCCTTCTCCCATGGTATCCGGGGCCCTCTCCCATTGTACCCGGAGCCCTCTCCCATGGTACCCGGGGCCCTCTCCCATGGTACCCGGGGCCCTCTCCCATGGTACCCGGGGCCCTCTCCCATTGTACCCGGAGCCCTCTCCCATGGTACCCGGGGCCCCTCTCCCATGGTACCCGGGGCCCTCTCCCATGGTATCCGGGGCCCTCTCCCATGGTACCCGGGGCCTTCTCCCATTGTACCCGGGGCCTTCTCCCATTGTACCCGGGGCCTTCTCCCATGGTACCCGGGGCCCTCTCCCATTGTACCCGGAGCCCTCTCCCATGGTACCCGGGGCCCTCTCCCATGGTACCCGGGGCCCCTCTCCCATGGTACCCGGGGCCCCTCTCCCATGGTACCCTTGGCCCTCTCCCATGGTACCCGGGGCCCTCACCCATGGTACCCGGGGCCCTCTTCCATGGTACCCGGGGCCCTCTCGCATGGTACCTGGGGCCATCTCCCATGGTACCCGGGGCCCTCTTCCATGGTACCCGGGGCCCTCACCCATGGTACCCGGGGCCCTCTTCCATGGTACCCGGGGCCCTCTCCCATGGTTCCCGGGGCCCTCACCCATGGTACCCGGGGCCCTCTTCCATGGTACCTGGGGCCATCTCCCATGTTCTCCGCCCCCATGGAGAAAGACAGTCTCGTATTTTGTCTTCGTTATTTTATTTTTATATTTTGTTCTATACACTGATGTGCTTTGACAATGTGGGAACAGATAGAGGGAAAATAGAGTACAGAGGCAAGTTACGTTACGAGTGAGCAGCAGCAAACCTACAGTGTAAGTCTCAACGATAAAATGGAAAAGGTTGATATAAGGAATTAAATAACAAATAATAATGCAAACAGAGTAATAAAATTGGAGGATGATTAGAATATTTCCCAATTGTTTCATCCATTTCTAGACTGGATAATAAAACATTGATAAAATAACTCATTACAAACAAGAAAAATGCATGTAATAATATGTCAACAGGTGTTGTTAGGCTGAAGGTGGGATTAATTAGCGTCAGGGAGGAGACGATCCGTCTTGACGCACGTCAGATAATCAAGAAATTAAACCCACAATGAGATTCCACCGTAAATCCTGATAAATTGTCTTGTGTGTGAGGGTCGTCCCAAGAGCCAGACTGCCTTGTGTGTGAGGGTCGTCCCAAGAGCCAGACTGTCTTGTGTGTGAGGGTCGTCCCAAGAGCCAGACAGTCTTGTGTGTGAGGGTCGTCATAAGAGCCAGACTGTCTTGTGTGTGAGAGTCGTCCCAAGAGCCAGACTGTCTTGTGTGTGAGGGTCGTCCCAAGAGCCAGACTGTCTTGTGTGTGAGGGTCGTCCCAAGAGCCAGACTGTCTTGTGTGTGAGGGTCGTCCCAAGAGCCAGACAGTCTTGTTTGTGAGGGTCGTCCCAAGAGCCAGACTGTCTTGTTTGTGAGGGTCGTCCCAAGAGCCAGACTGTCTTGTGTGTGAGGGTCGTCCCAAGAGCCAGACTGTCTTGTGTGTGAGGGTCGTCCCAAGAGCCAGACAGTCTTGTTTGTGAGGGTCGTCCCAAGAGCCAGAGAGTCTTGTGTGTGAGGGTCGTCCCAAGAGCCAGACTGTCTTGTGTGTGAGGGTCGTCCCAAGAGCCAGACAGTCTTGTTTGTGAGGGTCGTCCCAAGAGCCAGACTGTCTTGTGTGTGAGGGTCGTCCCAAGAGCCAGACAGTCTTGTGTGTGAGGGTCGTCCCAAGAGCCAGACTGTCTTGTGTGTGAGGGTCGTCCCAAGAGCCAGACAGTCTTGTGTGTGAGGGTCGTCCCAAGAGCCAGACTGTCTTGTGTGTGAGGGTCGTCCCAAGAGCCAGACTGTCTTGTGTGTGAGGGTCGTCCCAAGAGCCAGACAGTCTTGTTTGTGAGGGTCGTCCCAAGAGTCAGACAGTCTTGTGTGTGAGTGTCGTCCCAAGAGCCAGACTGTCTTGTGTGTGAGGGTCGTCCCAAGAGCCAGACAGTCTTGTTTGTGAGGGTCGTCCCAAGAGCCAGACTGTCTTGTGTGTGAGGGTCGTCCCAAGAGCCAGACTGTCTTGTGTGTGAGGGTCGTCCCAAGAGCCAGACTGTCTTGTGTGTGAGGGTCGTCCCAAGAGCCAGACAGTCTTGTTTGTGAGGGTCGTCCCAAGAGCCAGACTGTCTTGTTTGTGAGGGTCGTCCCAAGAGCCAGACTGTCTTGTGTGTGAGGGTCGTCCCAAGAGCCAGACTGTCTTGTGTGTGAGGGTCGTCCCAAGAGCCAGACAGTCTTGTTTGTGAGGGTCGTCCCAAGAGCCAGACAGTCTTGTGTGTGAGGGTCGTCCCAAGAGCCAGACTGTCTTGTGTGTGAGGGTCGTCCCAAGAGCCAGACAGTCTTGTTTGTGAGGGTCGTCCCAAGAGCCAGACTGTCTTGTGTGTGAGGGTCGTCCCAAGAGCCAGACTGTCTTGTTTGTGAGGGTCGTCCCAAGAGCCAGACTGCCTAATTGCTCTAATCCTTGTCATTAACGGAGATGTTAGCCAGTGGTGATAATTGCCTGATGTTATAAACCAGCATCAGAAGGAAGAAAAACAGCTTCTATGACGCATGATTTATATAAAATACATTAATTTTTGTAGTGACGTATAACAAGTATCGAATATGGAGGTTAAGATGGGGTAGTGGTTGGCTTGGGGGGGGGGGGGGGGGAGTTGACGGGGTAGTAGGGTGAATTGACGGGGTAGTAGGGTGAAAGAGGTGGCGAATAGGCACTGGGGGTGGAGTCGGGTGGAGGTAGGTAGATTGGGAGATCGAGGTAGGCGTAGGGGTAGAGGTAGATTGGAAGGTTGATGTTGGTGTGGGGGTGGAAATAGATTGTTAGGGAGGCTGATGCAAGTGTGGGCGGGAATTGGGGTGGAGGAGGGATAGATAAACAAAGGAGTATGATGGGTTGACAGGGACGACGCTTGAAAAAAATAAACTGGGCGTGAAGTTTGCTTTGAACCACAAGAAAAAAGAAACAGGTTACCTGTAAACTGTGCAGGACGTCCCTGAGCTCAGGGGAAGGGGTGACGTAGCCCCTCCCCCTAAGAAAGGAAGTAAAAGAAAGAGGAGTATTTAGCGAGCCCAGGAAGCCAATGGCTGGAAGACATCGGTGATGGCGGGAAGCGGCTGCCGTTTTTTCTGCCAACAGTCTGGTTCATTGTTAGTCTTCTTGCTGCTGGCGCTTCTCTTGTCTGAGATTTTAAAACCTGGTGGGTTTTGTTTCTGCTGCTGTTGTTGACTTGTGTCTACGTCTGCTGCTGTTGTTGACTTGTGTCTACGTCTACTGCTGTTGTTGACTAGTGTCTACGTCTACTGCTGTTGTTGACTTGTGTCTACGTCTGCTGCTGTTGTTGACTTGTGTCTACGTCTACTGCTGTTGTTGACTTGTGTCTACGTCTACTGCTGTTGTTGACTTGTGTCTGCTGCTCCTCCTCCCTTCTCTTCACCAACATTGAATATTGGGTAAAGATACATCAATACACACACACACACACACACACACACACACACACACACACACACACACACACACACACACACACACACACACACACACACACACCAACGGCTCGAAAAACAGGATCAAAGAGAAAAAGCTCGATCCCGCAGGCAAAAATAGGTGAGTACTCACACACTCCCCCTCTCTCCCTTTTCATCTCTCCCTCTCTACTCTTTTTCTCTCAATCTCTACCCTTTTTCTCTTTCTCTCTCCCATATCATCTCTCCCTCTCTACCCTTTTTCTCTCCCTCTCTACCTTCTCATCTCTTCCTCTCTACCCTTTTTCTCTCCCTCTCTCCCTTATCATCTCTTCCTCTCTACCCGTTTTCTCTCCCTCTCTCCCTTCCCATCTCTCCCTCTCTCCCTTCTCATCTCTCATTACCCCTCTTTCTCTCTCTCTCCCAGCCACTTACCCCCCCCTCTCTCTCTCTCTCTCTCTCTCTCTCTCTCTCTCTCTCTCTCTCTCTCTCTCTCTCTCTCTCTCTCTCTCTCTCTCTCTCTCTCTCTCTCTCTCTCTCTCTCTCTCTCTCTCCCTCTCTCTCTCTCTCTCTCCCTCTCTCTTCCACCTCTGTCTCCCATAGACAGAGGGAGGAGGGGGAAGGGAGAGCTTTAACACAACTTTAAACCTTTAACTTTAACCCAACTTAGAAGAACAGAGAACAAACATGGACTGGAGAGAAAACACAGGTGAGGGGTGAGTGACGTGTTGACCCAATAAAGATGTTCACCTACAGTTAGGGAGAAATAAAAATGGGAACCACTAGACAAGAAGAAAACAACAAGCAGCCTACAAGGTAAGCTGAGAGCAGCAAAGGAGGAAATCAAAATCCTCCAAGTGAACCCTAGTCAGACTCAGTATCAGACAGCAACCATCCATTACGAATTTGGGAAAATAACAGTTGAAGGAGCCTCTAGAGTTCTTGCCACATTTGTATACATGCTGAGAAGGAGCCCAGGAGCTAAGTCGAGAGTGTAGGAAGGTATCATAAAAACAGCCAATTCACAGGAAGCAGGAAGGTGCCTTAATCAACTGCTTGAAAGGAAATAGTTAGTATTAATCAGTGATGGTCTCGGTTGTGATAGCAGTAGAAAAAGGTATACTCTCATGAAGTACATATGAGCAGCAAGATGGACTTGTGACAAGGCTGACGAAAGTGAGTGCTTTGTAGAGTGGTAGGAAAGTGTTGTGCGCTCTGGTGATTGGTGGAAAACCCTTTCGGTGACCCGGTTTGGTCATTCTGAAGCAACGAGTCAACACCGGTGGTTTCAATGCGACATGAAGTTATCTGACACTATACAACACTTCTAGCCAGACATCCAACTACTGAAATCATAACTACACTGACCAAGCATCAGAGAATCATACAGTCCAAAAGGGATCCACAGAGACGGATCTCTGTCCACAATTTTCCAGGGTCTATATAACCGTCCCCAGTGGCTAGAGAAACAGTTACTGTGCAGCACCGTTTCCTGAGATATTAAGTGCTTCGTTATTAAATATTTTCTTGGGCGTGGCAACACTTCCCACGTTTGAGCTATAATTCTGGCACTCTTCTCTTATAGTCTCTCTTTAGTACATGTATATGCCAATTGTGTAGAATTTGGTAAACTTATTCATAATTAAAGTAATGTAGGGACAAGCTTTCTTCCACTGATAGTAAAAATTTAAAGCAAAATGTTAAGAAGAAAGACTTAATGTGTCGTTCATGATAATATTGACGAATAATGTTATTATATTTATTTATTATTTCGTGTTATGTTTTATTTTGGATTTATCCATCGTTATTATATTGTGACCCATAATATATGCAATATTATATAATAAGACGGACTAATGCAGTTTATAGAGTGAAAACAACTGTTTGCGAGAAACCCAAAAGAAAACCCATTGATGCCAAATATTCTATAGGCTCAGTCAAGCTTCGTACTTGGCTTCATATGATTTGTCAGTGTGCATAGTACAGCCATCTTCCTGTTAAGATATTAGTTACATTAATGGTGTAAATTTTACGTACATGGATGTAATGGAGAATTAGAAAGTAGACTTTGGTACTATTGAATATGAACAAACCAGAAAAGCTTTTGTATTGATGTTGCTAATAAAATCTAACCTATCCTATCCAGGCTAGAAGTAATTCACGCTGTCTCAGGTCTAACATAATATTTATGTGCTATACTAGGCCTAGGAATATATAAATTAGGTTTTAGCTTTATTTCTTCTGGACTCAATAAACTTAATAATAAGTAATTATACGAATAGTTCATTATGTCAGTACATGTACGATGGGCCTGTACGATTATATATGATCATACATATATATATATATAGGACTCGATAGCCTGGGAAGGCAGCCCTTCTAGGGAAAGGAAAACCCTGATTTTAAACCTCTGCTGCCTTGCGGCCATTCCTCTTTTTTGGGAAAGGCTTCAGGAGTCAACCTCGAGGAAAAATCCGGAGTTGGAGCCCCTAAGGCAGTTGCTGACTTCGACCTCGTTCTGGCAGCTCCTGCGACGGTGCTGGAACCATGTGTATTGGCATTTGGCCTTCCATTGGATAATTTCAGCAACGTGGAGAGGGGGACCTGCTGCATGGGTAACAGCTTCTCCAAATCTACCTACCCAGGCTTTACGCCCTGGAGAGGACACTCCAGCTTCGCCTCCCAGCGTCGAACCAACACGGGAAGCGACAGTCTGCCGGTTTTAAGTCTTCTGCTCGATTGGCGAAGAGTGTGACGCCAGGGGTTGCTTCCCGGTGAGAGAGGTCATCGCGCCCCACTGGGCAGCTACCGCCCACCTCAAGCTGGGTAAACCCCAGACAATAAGGTGTTGCTTCGCCACGGTCCGTTAACCTCACTGGGTGCATGGGGTTTAGGGTGAAAACCAACAAGCTGCCCTACAACTTTGCACCAAGCAATACTGTTACGGACTCGTCACCCTTGTCAGGGGGTAAAGTGGCAGTTCCAGCGCCATCTACGAGTCCGCACCCGAACTGCCCCGGAATCGTACGTAATATGGACAATGTCATCTGGTGGTGTCTATCTAAAACCTGTAAATGGCTAAAGATTCCTGCCTTGGTCAGCCAGAGGGGTCGTTGTGAGTGACCTCTGGTGAGGTGACGTATCAAGACCAGCGCCACCAAGTGTGTGCTACAGAGCACAATGTCAACTCCCCAGTGGGTTAGTGGTATTTCCTAGTTCCCCAGTATCGGCTAGGTCATTGATGACGTTTTTGTGTCCACAGAGGTGACGTCTCGGGGCAGCGATACTGGAGACGGCAGTTCACCTTGGGCAGTCCATAGTCTCCCTACATGGTCCTGGAAACGACCAAGTAAGCCGCCGCTGATGAAGTAGTGTGGTAGCTGCTAGTGCTTTAGTGTTGAAAAAGATCGGAGTACTTTCGGGACTGGCTTAGGGGAAAGACTGATGACAGGGAGGTGCCTTTTGAGTAGTGCTGCTAGCTGGTCACTAGAGACTCCTGCCAAAGGGGATCGCTACCCCTTTATTGGTTTGTGACCCCGCTCAGCGTGTGGCTGAAGTACTCTGCCAGCGAGTAGCTGGAGAGCAGTTGTTGGGGTACAGGCACCTCATGACACTGTCAGTGGGCTGGCCCACGTATAGGTGAACTCACCGGTGTTCTTCCCAGTAAGGTTGGATACGCTACTGGACAGTGAAGAAATACTGGGGTTGATGAACTCTGCACGTGAAAACGTTTGATATCCTGAGCAAAAGGATTGTACATAGGTGTAGAAATAGCCTATCTGTTCTTTATATATTATTGATGGTGACGGTGTTCATATATATACTTAACAATGGTGGAAAGATATTTAATACATTGACGAAAGGAACAGTGTTTCATTCATCCCTTCCGTTTTTTTATGCACTACATAGCCACTTTCTTGATAGCGTACTACTGACTTGGGGTCAGATACTCTCATTTTTGCTTCTACCATCAAAGAACCCGGTAGCGAACCGTAGTGGCCGTAACAAATACCAAACCTAAAAAGAAAATATCAACTGCCCTAAAGCTGGGCATATGGAACGTTAGGACACTGACACCAGGTTTCTCTGACGACCTGCAAGAAATCAACGACGCCCGAACAACAGCAATCAGCGATAGGGAGCTGAGCAACCTTCAGATGGATATTGTTGCTCTATAAGAGACCAGGCATCCAGAATCAGGATCTGTGAGAGAGAGGGGCTTCTCTTTCTTCTGGCAAGAAAAACCTCCAGATGAGACCAGAGAACATGGTGTGGGATTTGCCGTCAGGAATGCACTGTTGGGACACATTATGCCACCGACGGGGGAAACCGTCGGTAACATTGATACGAATTGGACACTGACTGATTAAGGCAGACAAGATCAAATTCCGTTCCACGAAACCGCGGCAATGAGTAATAAGAAATAAGATCCCCACTTAATAAGAAACTTAATATCAATATGGTGTTCACTAATAGTACGATCAAGTCCAATTTAATAAAAAAATTATCCTGATACAACAGGTTGTGAGTATTCGATTCCCTGCAATGATTGTGATTCTGTGTACATTGGAGAAACAGGAAAGTCCTTACAATTTCGGTTGTCCCAACATGCTTATAGTATTAGAACTGCCCAAACGTCTAGTGCATTGTATCTACACAAGAGTTTGTGTGATCACATTATTAAGTGGGATGGAGCGAAAAGCATTACAAATTGTGGTGGTTTCGTGGGACGGAATTTTATCGAGTCGGCCTTAATCAGTGTCCAAATCTTATCAATGTTAGTACTGGTATGTACAAACTTGATCCATTTTTAAGTTACAATATTGCAAAACAGTTTAAGAAAAACTCTGAAAGGGTTACTATGTCTCATTTCAATATTTATTCATATAAATTGTATGTTCACTGAGGCTTTAATCTTTCATCCTTATTCTCTGACCGCTTAATCCTATTATTCTAAACTAAATCTATACCTGCTTCTGGGTAATTCTTTACCTAGGGTTATGTGGTCATATTCAGCTGTTGACCTATACCCTCCCTTTATTTCTCCTAGTCAGTCTAGTGTTAACAATGGTTGTAAAGCAGCCGAAACGTTCATCTTCCTTTCCAATTTCTTTGTGGATTTTCTGCATATATACATATATATATATATATATATATATATATATATATATATATATATATATATATATATATATATATATATATATATATATATATATATATATATATATATATATATATATTATTAGGGGTACCACCACTGGTGTAATTAAAGGGACCCACATCCTCGAAGATAAAATAAAGAGTGAATCAATGTAGACCTTGTGGATTCTCACTGAATACTTTAATCTTTTCCTCTCCTACCACCCCTATTATTGTTTATTATTTGTGTTTTATTTGATCTTATTGCAATGCTACAGTTTACAGATATTACCCCCTCCCCATCCGGCCCGTTGGCGCCGTGAGGGGGCTTAGTGGACGGCTGTTGGAGTGTGATGCTCCGTGGGACAGTTCTCTGTACTTTTGTGGCCTTGCACTTCTGCTGTGGTCTTCTCTAATTGTGCCAGATCGCTTTTCCTTTTCCTTATGTTTCGTTTTTCTCCCCCCCCCCCCCACTCTACTCCTATCTGCTTGTCGTTTCCTGCCGACCTTTTGCTTGTTTTGGTTATTCCTTTGGACTTCTATTTTGACGCCCGGGTGCTTGAGGAGGCATACTCTTGCACCCGTAGAACTGTAATACCCAACGTCTCGAGCGAGGGGAACCTTATATTGTCAATTCCCCTATCGTCGCTGAACCCGATCTCGACGGACTGACA